GATAATTGCTGTAATTACACCGACAGTGTGTTGTTATGACAGCTCATCCCACAGCAAGCCGTTTTCAGCTGCTGAGGAGTCATCTGATGGGTCAAACCATTCAGCGGCTCCGACAGTTAAGGGGACACTAATGTCCTGTGTCTGCTTTGATAAAATCAAAGAGAAATTATTGTAAATGTGAAGTTTGACCTTCAGAAGACTTCTTTCGTGAAGTATTGGCTCTTCTGTGGCGTATTTTCTACACTCGATGTGTAGATGGTACAGTCCAGTTGTCCGGCATGCGGTTTTTCGCTGCCAACGAGGTTAAGCCAGAGCAATGCGAAGAGGAAATAACAGGAAATGACACAATCCTGCCTTCAAAATAAAAATCTTTACGCTTTTAGAGTTCGAAAGAGGAGATTAAATTAAATTGAAAAAATTAATTAAACGAATTAGGACATTTTTAAAACGTCTGTTACAAACATAAATAAAGTTTAAGGGCTCAAAAAATAACTGTAGGTTTCAAAGTAATTGAAAGTGTACAACACTAATAACAATAATCGGAAAAAGAGGATTTTTAAAAATGTTTTTTAATCACTAGTTGTAAGATCCTCACTGGATTTGCCTTATTAATCATTACTGATTGTAATAATACCCTGGCTGGAAATTAAACCATAAAAATAACAACAAAAAACCCCAGTAAGAACCAAAAAAACAAAAAACAAAACAAAAACAAAAACAAAAAACAAAAACAAATTAAAAATATGCAAAAGAAGCCCCATACCAAATAATCAAAAAGTAAATAAACCCAATAACCTTTTACCTGCTGTAAGAAATGTATTTCCTGTGTGTTCATTATTGTATCTGGCATCTTAGTTTCTACTAACTAACTAACTAACTAACTAACTAACTCCAAATGTTTTGCTTACTCTGAATATAAAGAAGTACATAGATATTCTGAAAATGTTCTATCTATGTATACTCATTAGACCAAAAAATAAAACGTGTTTTCTTTTTTCAGTGGCAGAAACAAGCTTCCGTGGTCATCACATGTACATTACAGTTTATATAGCACTTCTCTACTTCTCTAACTTAAAGGTAATTTTACTGTAAACCTCATTCATCTAACCAGACAATCACACACATATAAAAGTGCTTGTTTCTATATCTAAGCATCTTGTCAAATATTTCAAATAGTTGCATCCGGAGACCTAACCCTCTTTGATTGGTAGATGACTACTCTACCACCTAAGGCGCATAATAATTAATTTTGGAAAAATGAAATGCCACTGAAGTAAAGCGTTGATCAACGGTGTTTTATTTTGAAATTCCTGAACGGAAATCTTTCCTTCCTATGTCTAACTTACCTATAGCTTTTTATTCTCACACTGTGGATTTTCCAGCAGAGACCCACAGGCTCTCTGGACGGAACCGAGTCTCTGCTTTTAAAACACACCCGGTAACATTTTATCACTTCAGAGACTTGGCGCTGTTTTTCCAGCCGGATCCGCTTTTATTTCCATAGATTTTTTAGCCACTTTTCCCTTCTGCTCGGCTTGGATTTTACAAAGGGCGTGTTTGGGAGTTTCATCTCCTGTACTTGTGCGACTCTGAGGAATGACAGCAACTGGAAAGGGTCTGCGATCCGCCTGAATGGAAACAATGGATTATAAGGACCTCGGACATAATTTCGAGGAGAAGCTGACACTAACAGACAAGAGTGAGTATTTTACAGTCAGCATAAGGAAAATGGGGTTAGAATAAAGGGTGGCAGTAGGGTGGAATCT